ACATGGCAGTGGCAACAACAATACTACAGTGAGAATCAAAGTTACGCCTTCTTTCTTTGCGTGAACATTTGGGCGGCGTTATGCAAATCTTCCCACATCGTGACGTAGACATGTGGGGGCATGTTAGAACGAGCCGTTTTAGGTAGGAGTGGTTGACTCTTAACTTTTATAAAGAATATCTCTTTGGATTTGAGACTTTAGTCTTTGCAACTTTACAGATCTTCTTTATGCACCAAGAGCTTGTAACACTCCAAAGAGAAAGGAAAAATCGAAATCGCATCATATGACCCCTTTAACACAACGGGCAGGTGAATCTGAAATTAGACGAAGCGGATAATACAAAAGTGCATAAAACTGCCAGAAATTAGCCAATCAGAATAAAGATTGCCATTTGGAGGAAGCCTTTACCATAAGATGCTCAATGAGCAGTCTGCTTGCGTTGCAGCTGAGGCTGACTTACATAAAACTAACTGGACTTTAGGCATGAATTTTCTTGTATAGTTTATGACAGCGCACATGCCATTCACAGACGAAGGCATCTTACAGTTCCATACTATTGTACTAAACTTGTTTCTACACGCAAATATAGTCTAACAGAGCATACCACAAATGCTAGTACATGTCAGTGTGAAATGCAAGCGATTTTTCTTTATGCATTCATACAGATATACAGTTCTCTGTTGGGAGAGTGCAAATTGTTAAGCAATGCAGCGTCTGCCATGCTCTAATGACAGAGCACTCGGTTTCCGCTCGCCTCATGGCCTGCAGGGACACCCAACACCAAGCCCTAATGATTTCTAATGGCAGAGGAGTGGCCACCGGAAACAAGGGTGCAGAGAAGGATGAGTAGGAGTGTCCCGACCGGAAGCAGAAGTGTAAAAAGTGCCAGAGTCTGAGAAAGATGGGAGGATGTCTACTTGACTGTCTAATCTCGTCAGGTGTTTTAACAACCATGTCTTGCACCACAACATGTCCATTATGGAATTAGCCAAATGTGGGTGCACACACACACACGGCCCCCCGGGTGTTTCTATAACAGTAGGTAATTAGTGCTCCTCACGTCAGGCATCTAAGATGCTAATAACATGCTTACCGAGTCTTACATTGTTAGGTCAAGTGAACTGCCAGCGGGAATTATGGGAAACTCAATTTGACATTGTTAAGGGATGTTTCACACATTGTGTGGGTGCTTACGTGTTAAAGGTGGTCTGGGTTTGAATGCCAAGACCAAAGGTCACCCTGTAAAGGTTTAAACCTGTCCTGCAGGGGTGAGTTCCAGGGGTCAGAGGTCGGAAAAAAATTAAATTTAAAGTGGTGAAAGTTCAGTCTCGCCTTTGTTTGTCAGCTGCAAAAAACTTGCCCACTTAGGTAATTGGTCATCTGGTTTGTGAAATCGCTTTGGGATGTGTGAAAGGCAAAGCCTGATGGACATTTTTGAGCATATTTAAATCTGGTAATTCCTCAAGCACTCAATAGAGTGCAACAGTGACCGCCCACTTTTTAATTGTCATTGGTTTGATTTTTTCCTCCATTCATTTTCTCCATAAAGACAACTGTTTTTAGAGCTCTGTGATGAATTACAACACAAAAACATTTTATTTGATGTAAAAAATTACATCCTTTTATAAGGTAATGGACTTCCCTTATGGAACATTGCGAATAATGTAATCAAATCAGAAACTGCAGTACAATATAAAAAGTCACTTGAAGAAAAAAAATATATATATATATCAGTAGTCAGACTTTTAACTCGGTCCTTACTGTTATTTTAGTATCTCTGATATACTATATATTTTTTGTTAATAATTTGAATTAAATTAAAATTTTTGTATTTTCACTTTAATGTTAAAATTGTCATTTTTGTTAGTTACTTTTTAAATGTCTATATACTATATACTATGTCACCCTAGCGCCATTTTGTAGAGTATCCACTGAACGCAAACAGCGTATGTTGTTCTGTGTCAGCCGCACCACACGGATCACCACATGCATTCAGTGGATATTCTCCAAAATGGTGCTGGAGTGACACGGAGGAGAGAATTGTTGAATAAAGTCGTTATTATTTTTTCTTTTGCGCACAAAAAGTATTCTCGTAGCTTCGTAATATTACGGTTGAACCCCTGATGTCACATGGATTATTTTACCGATCTCCTTGCTACGTTTCTGGACGTTGATCGTGGTAGTACCCTTGCTGTCTATAGGATGGTCAGAGAGCTGTCAGATTCCATCAAACATATCTTAATATGTGTTCCGAAGATGAACGGAGGTCTTACGGGTTTGGAACGACAAGAGGGTGAGTAATTAATGACAGAATTTTCATTTTTGGGTGAACTAAACCTTTAACATATTTTGTTTCAAGTAACAAAAATGCTTTTATGCTTTTAGTTAGTTAATGATGATAATGCTGCTTTGATAACAATTACAGCCTCAATTCTTTTTGGTTATGATGGGACAAGCTTTGCACTCCTAGATTTGGGGATTTCCTCCTATTTTCTTTCTCTCCGAAGGCTCAGTTTGGACGAACTGCCAGCTGTAGGAAGACTCCTGGTTGTTCCTAACTTCTTCCATTCAATAATTATGGACAGGGGCGTCAGACTGGGGGTAAAACCCCAGCAAAAAGACACGCCAGTGGGCATTTACTGGGGAATAACTTCAGTATAAGCTATACATTTGAGGAAGCTATAGTATGTAAGCAATAGCATTTGTTTCATTTTGCCTTTTTTCTCCAGATAGTGAATAACTTGGTTGATTGCACTGACTAGTGACACAGGTTTGTTTGTCTTTTATTATGAATGGAGCTTTTTGTTAATGTACAAAACTAAAACGGCATGTTTAAGATTTAATTTATGCCTTGAAGTAATGTAGCGTAATAAAAATAAATGTTCTCTCAATTAAAATTGAGACTATATACCAGACTATGATAAGAAAGTCTGAGATGATGACTTAAGCACGTATGGCATTAATATTAGGCTACCTTCAGTGGCATTTACTGAGAACACTCCAATGTCATATAAGCTATCTGTTCCCTTTGTCTTGTTCATTCTGCAAATAAAATATGACTGAATCAAGTCTTGTTTGGTTATCATACAGTACGCAGTTTGTTCATGTAGGGTAGGGATTAAAAAACTAAAATAGTATGGGGGGGGGCATGGGGGCCCATCAGGACTGCCTATGCATAGGGCCCGGGATCTTGTGCAACGCCCCTGATTATGGAAGCAACCTTTAATGCAACAGCCTTACCCAAATGTGTGCCTCAACACAATCCTGTCTGAGCTCTGCAGACAATTCTTTTGACCTCATGGCTTGATTTTTGCTCCGATATGCATTTTCAGCTGTTAGAACTTATATAGACAGCTGGGTGTTTTTCCAAATCGGGTCCAATCAATTGAATTTGCTACAGATTTACTCCAATCAATCTGTAGAAACATCTCAAAGAGGATCCAGAAAAATGGGATCCACCCGAGCAAAATTTCAAATGTCATAGTAAAGGGTACGATAGTAATATTTCAGTTTTTTCTTTATACATTTTTTTTCTTTTAAGCTATCACAAATTTGGCTTTTGCTTTGGCATCATGGCGTATGGAGTGTAGAAAAAAATAGAAAAAAAACATTTAAAGCACACACACAAATAAATAAATTAAAATTTTACCCAATTTGTGCGCTCAACTTCTCTCTCAAGTTCACACTGTTCTTGCGTTCTTTTTGGATGACTGCAATTTCTCTGGATGTCTTTGAAGAACTCTTACTGTGCGTAGCGTTCCTACTCCTGTATCTTTCTGATTCAGCACCGCAATTACAGCGAAAGAAAAAAAAAACTACATCAAAGAAAATTCAACCCCACACAACTGCATGTGCACCGGTCAAAGAATATGTGATTAGAAGAAAGTCTGGTGAATGCATTTCAGATTCCCAACATCGGTCACCCTGCCAGAAGGCTGTGGCTTTGTGAGTAGTTTGTTGTTTTAAAGCAGACCACAAATGACCCTTCAAATTGGGCGTTTTGGGATTGTTGCCACCAGCAGCTAGTTAAGAGCGCTTCACCATTTCCTTGCATGGGAAAATACAATGGCCCCTTTCCATGACCTAAAAGAAAACCTTTGAATGTCAAGATGTTTTTCTCTAAAATGCTTGATTATTAAGTGTATTAAGTGCATTGACTCTAAAAAAAAAAAAAAAAGATACAGAAATAATGGCTTCGGGATCATCGTGTCCTCCCAAGACCGGGCGGTTTTCAGCTAATCACAGCTGGAGTTTTGAATGCTGTTACACACATTTATCTTTAGGGGTACTGCTGGTCTAATTCACATTTTGCTTTTGGCGGTGTTGGCTGATCGTAAACAAAGACAGGCCGTCTCATTATCCCGTGGTTTTCTCTGTGAGGCTGCCATGTCGTCGGCGTCCTAAACTGCACCTGGACGTTTGGTAAGAATTACCTCTGGCATCCACCAGTAGACTTTGGCTTTTGGTTGGCACGGCTTGGAAATGGGACGTGGACTGAATACCAAAACCTGAAACCCAGACGGCTCCTACATCTTGCCGTGACCCAAATAAACTTATCCTGATGCAGACCTGATCAGTATGACAGTATATACTGTATGACCATAGAAAAATATTTCAATGCACATCAGATCTAGTTTGTTTTCTTTACCAAAGTGTTACATAATGTGAAGCTGTTTTTGCACTAATGCCAGACTTCATTTATTATGAATAGTCTTATCTTTTGTTTTGCATCCATCAAATACCAAATAAGATAAAATAGGTTTTACATTTCGCTTGAAAAATAAACTTAGTTTGCTTAATTATCCACATATAGGCATGGGTATTTAATATTAAAACCATTTTACCAGCCAAAAATGGCTGTATTGTGATATCACACCATTACCATGAAGTAAAATTACTCATAACATAATTGCTGTGAGGATTTTTTGTCATACCAGCCACATCTATTCTGAACTGTTTTTAACTTTGTATTTTTTTTTTTTAAATAAATCATAACTTACCTGTGTTTGGGGCTTCCCTGATGTCCCAGCTTTCTTGTCTGGAGAGCCGTTCCGCTTATCTGCACTCTTCTTCTTCTCTGGGGTCTGGAAAAATGGACAGAGAGAAAGAAAAAAGAGAGAGATGTTGCAATCCCAGGTTAAAATGTGCAGAGAAAATATTTAACACGTGTCAAAGACAGAACCGCTCAAGTCACCTGTCATGCTCAGTGTTAGAATCATAACAGCGGATAATGTTTGTGAATTGAGTGATTGTGACGGCTTTGCTCTTCAGTGATGTAACACAATACGCTTCTCAGATGCTTATTTCAGTCAGCTGTCAGAGAGCCGTGATGAAAGAGAGCAGTAATTTGTAGAAAGCGCAGCCTGTCTAGTCACGGCCTAATGGGACCACAGGACACTGTCATTGCTCTAAAACTCTATACCCCAGAGAGAAAAACAGACAGCGGAAGAAAGACAAGTAAAAAAGGTTGAAAAAAAGAAATATGGATGGGGAGTAAGAAATACTGTACACTTTCTATGAATCTATACACACACACAATATGTGACCCTGGACCACAAAACCAGTCTTAAGTGTCAATTTTTCGAAATTGAGATTTCCACTTTCCACAGCTTTCCACTGGTGTATGGCTTGTTAGGATTGGACAATATTTGGCCGAGATACAACTATTTGAAAATCTGGAATCTGAGGGTGAAAAGAAATCTAAATATTGAGAAAATCGCCTTTAAAGTTGTCCAAATGAAGTTCTTAGCAATGCATATTACCAATCAAAAATTAAGTTTTGATATATTTACAGTAGGAAATTTACAAAATATTTTCATGGAACATGGTCTTTACTTAATGTCCTAATCATTTTGACCCATACAATGTATTTTTGGCTATTGCTACAAATATACCCCAGCGACTTAAGACTTTGAGATTAAGATCTTAAGATTTTGTGGTCCAGGGTCACATATTAGGCTTTATAAACAACACTGATAATGTAAATCACCATCTTATAACTAATTATATGGTTGCTATTTTTCTCAGGAGCAAAGTTATAATATGTAATTTGAATGTATGAAAGCGTACATTAATAATCATAAACAGACTTCATAAAAAGTGTTTCCAGCTAAATTAACAGTGAATGTATCAAGTTAAAGACCTGATGGTTCAAAGATAGAGACGTCTCGAGATGGCTAAAGAAAGAGAGAGTGAGAGATTGAAACGCTGTGAGAAGAGAAGAAAGCATTCAGGATGGGGGGATGAGAGAGCATGTGGAGCGTGTGACAGAAGTGCTCGTCTGTCGTCCCTCCTCAGGGCAGGAATCAGTCCTCACAGAGCAGGTATGTACCCGCTTTGATCTCCAAACACACATACAAACACACACTGTCACGCACTCTCAAACATTTTAATACACGTACACACAACAGGGTTATTAGGTTTTATTGTGGATGTCAATTTCAGTTTACTTCCACTGAGTTGTAATGGTGCATAAATAGTTGAGTTTTTGATTTTAACTACATTAATTTACATACATACATTTTAGATCAAAGGTCTTCAACCCTGCTCCTGGGGACCCACTGTCCTGCAAAGTTTAGCTCCAACCCTAATCAAACACAACTGAAGCAGCTAATCAAGCTCTTCAGGATTGCTTGAAAATACACATACAGGTGTGCTGAAGCAGTTTGGAAATAAACATTGCAGGATAGTGGGTTCAAGACCTCTGTTTTAGTCTATAAATAGACTACCCATCAAAAGTTTGGAGTCTTTAAGATTTTTTTTTTTCTTGAAGAATCTCATATGCTCACCAAAGCTCCATTTATTCAATCAAAAATACAGTAAAGATAGTAATATTACTGCAATTTAAAATAACTATTTTCTATTTTAATTTGATTTTAAAACGTAATTTATTCGTGTGATGCAAAGCTGAATTTTCAGCATCATTACTCCAATCTTCAGTGTCACATGATCCTTCAGATATTATTCTAATATGCTGATTTACTGCTCAAGAAACATTTCTTAGTATCATCAATGTTAAAAACAGCTGTAAGTTAAGAAGTTAAAAAGCAGACAGTTAAAAAAAAAAAGTATTTGATCATTTATTTTAAAAAGAAATGTTTTTGTAACATTAGAAATGTCTTTACTGTCACTTTTGATTAATTTAAAACATCCTTGCTGAATTAAAGTATTAATTTCTTATTCACATTCATTTTTTGACCCCAAACAAGCAAGTGATGTGTAGAGAGGTGAAGTCAGGCTGTCTGTGAATCTTACCAGTGTACATGTGATCATTACGATCCAGACAGAGAGAAAGTGTCTATGAATACAGACGGATAAAGAAAGGATGCAAACAAGACATGACAAAGATGAGAAGTCACTGAGGTGACATGAGGGTAGAAGAATATGTGTTATACGAAGAGACAGACAGAAAGTAATGTGCTCTTAACGTTGATGGGATAGTAACAGGTGGTGATGAATATGTGATGCAAAATCCTCTGTCTCAGGCAGAGACTGGCACCTGCTGGTCACTTGGCTTCATTCAGGACAACAGTGCTAACGTGCAGCAATGTAACATAAAACCGTTCAAAAGTTTGGGCTCAGCAGGATTTTTCCTGAGTAAATTCATACTTTTATTTAGCAAGGATGCATTATATTGATCCAAAGTGACAGTAAAGACTTTTAGAATGTTTCAAAAGGTTTCAGTAAATGTGTTATAATAATATGAAATGCTTCTTGAGATTTCTGAAGGATCATGTGACACTGAAAACTGAAGTAATGATGCTGAAAATTCAGTTTTGCACCAGGAATAAATTACATTTTAAAATATATTAAAACAGAAAAAACAGTATATAATATAATAATAATAATTTCACAATATTACTGCTTTACTGTATTTTTTATTAAATAAATGCTGCTTTGGTGAGCATATGAAACTCCTTTCCAAAACATTAAAAATCCCACCAACCCCAAACTTTTGAACGGCACTGTAATACACAGCATTTCCTCTTTTCTAATTGTGTACATGGAAAGACTCACTTTTTGAGGGGTTTTGATGGGGCCCTTTTCAACAGCCTTTACCTCTTTGTCGTCGTCACTAAAAAGAAAGAGAAAAATGCATTTGTCAAACAAATAAAAATATAAATGATCCTCTCCTTTCAACAGAGCACAAGTTCACACTGAACAAACATGAGTTCTCACTCGTTATCATCATCATCATCATCGTCATCATCTTCATCACTATCCTCATCTGAGTCTTCATCTGAGTCCATTTTCAACTTTTTCTGAAATGACGGAACACAATCATTGGAAACAGAACAAAGCACCTTTTTATAAATCTGAGCGTTCCGGCAGTAAAATATGAATGGAAGTGACTAGTGAGATGCTAGAGACAAGTATAATCATGCTATACTTATTAATGCATTAATTTGTCTCTTATCTTGTCATTGCTGCTATTCTATAAAAGCAATACGCCACTAAAAATAAGTATTACAGTGATTTTATCATAGGTAAATCACAACAACACCCCTTAACCCAAGTAAAAACACTGTGACAGCTTCTCATGGCTTTCTGCTTCAATAAGAATTCTGGGATCATTTCAACACACTGACAAAAGACTTCAAACAGACTCTCTGTGTATCACATCGATGACAAGCTGTTGCTTGTCTCAGACACTTATCTAGAGGATTAAGTGTGTATTGAACAATGTGTCTCTTTATTGAGATTCCACAAAAGTCAAGAGGGCAACCTCATAGTTTCTCTTTTAATGTTTCTGAACACCTAGTCAAACCCTTTTCATTTCTTATTTACAAAAGAAAGCAAGCACCACATTGTCTGTGATAAATACACTACAAAAAAAATGATCATCTTCCTTATTATTTTTATCTTTTTTTACCAGCACAAATATCAAAACATTCTTAAATCAAGACACATTTACTTGAGAAGCAAAATGATTTAAGATATTAGGTCTTGTTTTCTGAAAAATTCATCAAAATTAAGTGAGTTTATGCTTAAAATAGAAAATAATATCTGGTGTAGAAATAATATACTTCCTTAAAAGTGAAAACCAGATTATTTTTCTTACCCCACTGAAAATTTTTTTTTCTTGTTTTAAGCATGAACTCTCTTAATTTTTATACATTTTTATTTTGAAAACAAGACTTAATATCTTAAATCATTTTACTTCTCAAGTAACTGTATCTTGATTTAAGAACATATAGATATTGTACTGGAAAACATGACAATAATATCAAGTTTATTTGTTGTTGTTTTATTTGCTGCATTAAGTATACATCTCTGATTATCTTAAGGGAGTTTTATGTGTGCTGCACCAAAAAAAAACAATCATAATTTAGTAGTTTTTTAATGAATTGTGTGTAAACAGCACTGAGTGGTTTGAGGTGAGAGATTACCTGAGGCACTTTTGCATGGGTCATGCTAGACGGTCTCTTCACTGGTGATGTATTATTCTCCTCCTCTTCCTCTTCCTCATCCTCATCATCTGATTCCTTCACACCTGAGCAAACCACAGAGATCTCCAGACATCAATAACTTTGATTTAAATAAAAACAAAATCCGTCTTTCGGATGAGACGTTAAACCGAGGTCCTGACTCTCTGTGGTCATTAAAAATCCCATGGTACTTCTCGTAAAGAGTAGGGGTGTAACCCCGCAACTGGCAATTGACTCATCCAAGTGGATGCTGCACACTGGTGGTGGTTGAGGAGAGACCCCCCACATGATTGTAAATCATGATTGATATATAAATGCATCATTCATTCATTCAAAACAACGTCACATGTCCACGTTTTGTGACTAAACCAATCTGACATATATAAGTGGAAGCCTAAATGCTGCACTTATTTAATATCTGGAGAACAGAGCTGACATGTTGAAAGTGTCTGAACAGCATGTGCAAACATATGGAAGCGATTATATCAGAGAAAATGGTGTCACATGGTGCTGGTTAATTCATTTTGAGTCCGTATGGAGAGTCAAGGGCCCTTCCAGATGGCCAGATTACTCCCATGGACGTCGCAACAGGTTGAGAGGATCATTTCATCAGAGAGAAGAGAAGAGTAAACAAGAGAGAGGCAAAAGACACATCTGGGAAATGGTTTTCCTAAACTGGTCGTGTTCAGTCCTAACAAATGAGAAAAGACAAAAGGTACTCACTGACGAAATGCTGACCGCTGATGTAGACCGGCCCCCCTCCGGACTGCAGGCGAAAGGACACAGGAGGCGTGACCTCAAAACCTCCCAGACTTAGCTAGAGGTAACACGCAGACACACATATTGTTGTAATCCAAACTAAGTGAGAATGATCAAACACAACAATAGCAAAACATCTTATTCTTGGTCTACTTTTAGAACAAAAAGAAAAACTGTTTAGAACACAAAACATAGCTTATTAAACGAAAATCTTGAACTTGCCACATTTTGTTTTGTTTTTTTTTGAAAAAGTAATACTTTTATTCAGCAAGGATGCATTAAATTGATCAAAAGTGACAGTACAGAAATATATAATGTTATAAAATATTTCTATTTCAAACACATGCTATTTCAAATAAATAAATGAATGCTGTTTCACATAAATGTTCTTTCTAATAATTCCTAAAGGGATGTATCCTGGTTTACAAAAAAATATAAAGCAGCACAACTGTTTTCAACACTGATAATAATAAGAAATGTTTTTGAGCAGAAAATCAGCATATTAGAATGATTTCTGAAGGATCATGTGACACTGAAGACTGGGGTAATGATGCTGGAAACTCTACTTTGCATCACAGGAATTAATTACATTTTAAAATATATTAAAATTGAAAACAGCTATTCCAAATTGTAATAATATTTAACAATATTACCATTACTGTATTTTGGATCAAATAAACGCAGCTTTGGAAGAGCTGCACGATTCTGGATAAATTGAGAATCACAATTGTTTCGTTTTTTTTGTCTCAAATAGTGATCACGAATCTCCCACAATTCTGAACTAAACAAAATAATGTGACAAAATATTATTGCTAAAGTCGATTTAAAAGTTTTGAATTAATTTGAATTAATTATTAAAAATGTTCATCTATATGTATTTAAAATATAATATATTTAATACACCAATTTTTTATATTAAAATTATGAAAAAGTGGTCTGAATGAATGAATCAATCAGCGTTTTTGAACGAATCTCTTGAATGAATGATTCAATGACAAACACATTTTTTAACAGACTAATGCATTCGACACAAATGTTATTTTAAATTAAAGTTATTATTAAACCTTTATTTGACCCTCTAACTCTAACACTTTCTATTCTATTTTTTGCACTTATATATTGTTGCTCTTTTGTTAGTTTTGACTGCTTTTATTGTCCTCATTTGTAAGTCGCTTTGGATAAAAGCATCTGCTAAATGACTAAATGTAAATTTGAAGCACCAGTTACTTTCAAAAGGGGATTTGATCGCTACCATAGACATCAATGTTTATATCTAAACTATAAACTTTCATCCCAGTATTTCTGTGATAATATGAAACACGGTACATGTCTGCTCTCTGTGTCAGCGACAGAGCAAACACACATTTGAATGTTCTGGTATGATATTTTTCAAAGGTTTAACAGACAAGGGCAAATCATTGTCATTTAAAAATGGGATCGCATGGGTGTTTGAATCGAGATTGCGATACCTTTTTAACAATTAATCGTGCAGCTCTAAACTTTGGTAAGAATAATAGACCTCCGTCAAAACCACTAAAAACCCAAACTTTTCAAGAGTAGTATAACATTGAATGTTAAAACATATACTACTAAGTGTTTATTATCAGACAATTTTGTGCTAAAATCAGATGATAAATGATTCCCACCACAAACATCCAAACAAGATTGGTTTCTCAGAAAGAAATCACGACTGGGATCCGTCCTGATCATTCCATGCCAGTACATTAGGCCTTCAGCTAAACATCAGCACAATTGCGCAACTCGCGAAATACAAGCCACAGCCAACAATTCTGAATGAACATTCCACTGCGCCAGGCAACGGCACTTGCATCGATGGCAACCAGATGTAAACAGCTGAGGGCGCGATGGTCTGCTTAATGCTTTAAATGACAGCTATGTAACTGTTGTAATTACGTTGAATGGCGAACAATCCCTCACGTCCAAAATCATCTCAGATGATCTGTTTCAACACAAATGCTGACTGATGAGTTGATTGTCTCCCGAGCAATCGAGACAAAACCTTGTAATTAAGGTACAATTATTGCTCAAGTCAGATATCCCGGGGCGTTTTCTAATTTGGGGATTGAATAAACTGAATAAAATCCAAGATCTTACAGACAGGGTTGAAATTACACAAAAAAAGGGCTTACAGGTTTGGACAAAACAGCAGCTATGTCCTAAAATAGATGACCTCAAGTGTCACAATGAATAAGCCACCATTAAAAACTCAACCCACTGTACTAATCAAACCAGCAGTTGGTATCTATCAGAACACAAAAAGAGTTGCAAACTCTGCGTTCTGATCGCTCTGAACCATAAAACATAGATTCCTCCCAGAGCTCTTTGGAAATGCTCACATTTTCCATAGCTGATATAAAACAGAGGCGAATATGTGCTGATGTCATGGAGAGTTTGTGCCTGCTGTCCTGATGATGCAACGATGGCCCAGCCCCTTCCAAAAACAATCTGTCAATCACAACTTGACCAGCCTCGGCACAGCTGGAAATTTTTATTAGACACATTCTTCCAATACCATAAAACACCCATAACAGGCATCCCTCCACAGTAAAAATACATATTCAAGATGTTATTGAGGGCATAATAACAACTGGCTGCTAGTAATCTCTTTTTATTTTACAAATCGAATTAGAGTACACTTGTAGTATCATCCGCAATATTAATTTCTACCACACTACTTGAAAACTTTTTCTATCGCAAAAAGTGATTTGAAGTGAAAGTCTCTAAATTTGGGATACATACAGGCAAAAACATTGTGTTTCTTCCATGCACTGATCAGTTTTGCCATTTTGGTCTATTTGGCTTCTCATAATGTGATTTTTCAGACTAGTGGAAGGAAAACAAAGAAAAGTGTGTGTTGCCTTGAATACAGATTAATATCAATTATCAGTGTGTACTTACAATAGAGTTAGGGTTAGGGTTAATTGCTTGTAATTATGCATTAATGGATTGTACTGTTGTGTGAAACATACCAATACCAATTATTTAGACAAAACGTCTTTCGGAAAACATTCAGTAGAGAAAACTCCATAAAACATCTTTGGAAGTTGTGAAGATTACATGATCTAGGAACTTTGTACAGTCTGCAACTTTGTACACTGCACTATTAATAACCAAAGCCAAGTAGAGTAACTTATAAATGATATATTTATAATTAGGTAGATGGATACACGGTTTCTGTTCATGACACATAAAACTGTAAACAAAGAACACTTACAGAAGGCAGAACGGACGGCTTCAGTACAGCGAGAGTGATTTTGGTCGTTTTACCACTGTAAGTCAATCCCTCCATCTCCACGGTGTGGAATTTATCCTCCGCCTCAGCACCCAAACACACCTGAGAACACACGTGAAGAGAGGAAACTGGTTTGTTAATGTGAGTTTATGGGCAATCAAAATGATTAATCTACAACATAGCCTAGTTAGTTCATTTGCACAGTTATGATGAACACTGACAACAATATTCCTAATACAGAACTGAAAACAATGTTATAGATTAGAATGTGATTAAACCAGTATAGAATTTTACACCTAATAGAATAGAATAGAATAGAATAAAATAATCTGCTACTATTAATTCTATGAATTAAAAGACAATAGGTAAGTGGATTTAGAGTTTTAGTGAAATAGTTTATAAATAAATGTAGCGATTTACAGGAGTTAAAAAAATAATGAATAACTTACTGCACGCTCTGATTTCAGGAAACATGGAAATGATCATATAATCATGCATTTTTCCAGGAGTAAAGGATTAATTGGGGTTTAATATCATATGTGCCCCTGGACCACAAAACCAGTCTTAAGTCGCTGGGGTATTTTTTTAGCAATAACCAAAAAAACACTGTCTGGGTCAAAATTATCGATTTTTCTTTTATGCCAAAAATCATTAGGATATTAAGTAAAGATCATGTTCCATGAAGATATTTTGTAAATTTCCTACCGTAAATATATCAAAACTTAATTTTTGATTAGTAATATGCATTGCTAAGGACTTCATTTGGACAACTTTAAAGGCGATTTTCTCAGCATTTTGATTTTTTTGCACCCTCAGATTCCAGATTTTCAAATAGTTGTATCTCGGCCAAATATTTTCCTATCCTAATAGAATAGAACTATAGAGAACAAGAAAGAATATTATTTTTAAAGTGCTACAGAAAAGGGCAAATATACAGGACAAATAAAATAAAATAGATTAGGTAAGAATACAATCTTCATTCATTTTATGATTGCACCTCACAACTTCTGCATTTATCTTTAAGGTAGGACTGATTAAACTATTCCATGCAGAACTGAATATCTGTGATAGTGACTCATTTAATGACATTTCATTATTTCATCTTCCTCACCGCCTTGAGTGACAGCTGATGTTCAGCCTCATCATCATCCAACTCAACTTTGTGCTCCTTCTTATCAGCTTTCAACGAGCAACCTGTAGGAAGAAGTCAAAAATGATGTTTTAAATAATTAATGTTGTATACGTGGATGTATTTTCCCCTAAAATTTACATTTTTACAAAAAACATCCACATACTATACAACATCCTTTATAAAGGCTGTAGGCACGAGATCATAATAAACAAAGGGGGAAAAGAAATACTCCTACTCCTCTTGTCCAGAATATTTTTTTAAATAAAAAAGAAAATAACATTTGAGCTCACATCAACATTAGGCTATAAACAAAGGCAAATTCAATGCATGAGGCTAGTAGCTGCATTAGCCACAACTCTTTTATTGAACTGCAATACCGCAGCAGACGCATGTCATATGAATGCATAATACTGATTATCGCATATATATATATATATATATATGATTATGCAACATGAGATTTTTTTTCAGCTCACCAAATAAATACATCTGAGGTCGGCTGAGATCTTTAATGTTATCCTCCATTTTTGCGCCACAGACGGTCCTGTTAATCGTAGTTCCGGCGTGTGGATTGACACTTGAATGGACGAATGAGAGTGCACAGTGGGCGGGCTTTTGAACCAGTTGTCCAATAGCATTCAACCTTGGTGGTAAAGTAATGTACCCTTTGTTTGCTTTTTCTTGCTTTCAGTACCCAATTTATTCGCCAGATGACGCCATATAATAACTATTCAGTACGCTTGCCTCTGTTCATCCATCAATGCATTCTCCAAACCGCTTGTCCTCTGTAGTCTTTTTTCCCCACAAAAAATTAAATATAATATTAATATAATGAGCCGAATCCTTTATTGTGATGATTTAATACAACTTGACATCTATCCCAATAACAAAAGAAGAAGAATTAATTTTTATTATTATTAAAATCATTGTTAAAATTGAAATGCCAATAAAATTATTGTCTTCCCAATGTTTTTTTTTTTTGTTCTGCAAAATAATTGTTAGTATAAACTATATTAGCAGTATATGAATAAAGATAAATTTGTCTTTGTAATGTGTAGTAATTTTGTAGCAAGCTTGAAAAACACTAACAAACTAAATGTTAAGACCTTTATAGAATATTCTACTCAATTTTTATGAACATACATTCTAAAATTGGTCAGTTGCTATATTAGTAGCAAGTTCCATTAGATATACTTTATTAATAGTAATTTATTAATTTTTTTTACGACCGTAATACAAAATTCTACTTAATTTTTATTAACATAAATTATTTATAAGTTAATTTTTGATTTCGCATCAGAATGGCGAAGCTGAAATGACGTCACTTGGTGAGTTAAACGCGCTCCGAAGAATTGATTCGAAACATCAAAAGATTCTTAAAGTTTTCGAAGCTTCGTTTCGAACGCGTCGCGCGGCTGAGGCTCTACTCTAGGCGCCTCGTAGTTCTCTAGGCCGTGTCGCTTCTCGACTATTTATTAAACTCTTCAGAGGATTTACTTGATTTCCCATTCAAAAGAACAAAGCTTTTTGCTTTGTTCGAGGTGACAGCCATAAAAAAGGACGAAGATAATCGCTTCCACCCTTCATGCAGGCTCTCGGTGAAAACAGCCATCTTGTTCAAACAGGCGGCACTTTAACGCGAGTGACCCGTATATACATAAAGACACGCCGGTCCGATTACACACCCCAAAACACATGCATGCCTGTCGGATCTCATGGTTTTACAGAGCTCTTCTATAGTCGTTGGGCCCTGTCAACACTTTGCTTAATATTCACATAAACAATTCTTTCTCATAAATCCACTAAAGGAGGGTGCAGACTTAATAAACATCTTTAGTATGGGGTATTTACCAACAGAAAACTGGTTGTACTCTGGCAAGCTGTTTAATATTAAGAGTTTGCATAAAACAGTATAAATATGGATGTGCCATAACACGGATATATTAACCCGAGGACTTAGGGAATCTGTGCTGTTGTGGTTGACCAACATGTTTTTTTATTTTTATTGCTGATATCTAGTAGGCAGAGACAGGATACTTAAACACACTGAGATCACATGAATACTTCTTTTATGCAGTTTTTTTTTCTTTCTTTTTAACCAGCCAGATAATGCCAAATTAACAAAATGGGCCCGTTATCCTGTATCATATAGGCCTATATGAAGCCTCTAAATTATCAACAGAATAAAAACCTGTTGCACAGAATCTACTGCACGCCTTCTGTCGTCTGATTGACAGTTTATACATGTAATGTGTTTAATGTGGGTTTTTTTTCCTCAAATCTTTACTGAAATGTTATTAATATTTCAAGATAATCATTTACTGGACTGAAAAAACACCATTGGTTTACTTGATTATCCATACTTTATATTATATCTATATCTATCCGTGTGTGTGTGTGTGTGTGTGTGTGTGTGTGTGTGTGTGTGTGTGCGAGTAGCACTTAAACATTCTCACTTAAATGTTCCATTGCAAAAAATTTGACTATTCTGATCATTATTTCATATGGCAGGCTTTACAGAGTTCATAGGCCTGTCTTTCATACTTTATAGTAATGATGATTTCAGTTCTCAAATATTTTCCTAAATTCTCGCTTTCACATAAATGTTTTCGTAGACCTGTATCTCTTTCTGGAAGAGAACCATAACTGATTTTCCCAAACGCAGATGAGCAGATCAGCCATTTAGATGCGTCAGTAAATCTACAGGTATATCAGATGCGTTGTGGGTTGCTTTACTGTGGTAACGTGGGTCTTGATGGCCCGACATTTGGTAGAGATTGTTCCACAGATGCTATGAAAAAGCTTAATTATGTTACATGAAATTGTATAGTGAGTGTCCCATAGTACTCCATTCTTTTCTTGATAAAAAGAAATAGAATGCTTTTGGAGGGCTTGAGTGACTAGACACATAGATAGCCATCACTGCATCTGTTTAAAGATAAAAATAAATGTCAATACAGTCTATTTGAAGCACACCAACACTCTTAAAATTAAAGGTGCTTCACGATGCCATAGAACTTTATATTATATCTATATCTATCCGTGTGTGTGTGTGTGTGTGTGTGTGTGTGTGCGAGTAGCACTTAAACATTCTCACTTAAATGTTCCATTGCAAAAAATTTGACTATTCTGATCATTATTTCATATGGCAGGCTTTACAGAGTTCATAGGCCTGTCTTTCATACTTTATAGTAATGATGATTTCAGTTCTCAAATATTTTCCTAAATTCTCGCTTTCACATAAATGTTTTCGTAGACCTGTATCTCTTTCTGGAAGAGAACCATAACTGATTTTCCCAAACGCAGATGAGCAGATCAGCCATTTAGATGCGTCAGTAAAACTACAGGTATATCAGATGCGTTGTGGGTTGCTTTACTGTGGTAACGTGGGTCTTGATGGCCCGACATTTGGTAGAGATTGTTCCACAGATGCTATGAAAAAGCTTAATTATGTTACATGAAATTGTATAGTGAGTGTCCCATAGTACTCCATTCTTTTCTTGATAAAAAGAAATAGAATGCTTTTGGAGGGCTTGAGTGACTAGACACATAGATAGCCATCACTGCATCTGTTTAAAGATAAAAATAAATGTCAATACAGTCTATTTGAAGCACACCAACACTCTTAAAATTAAAGGTGCTTCACGATGCCATAGAAGAACCTTTTTGTCTAAATGGTTCCTTAAAGAACCTTTAACATATGAAGAACCTTTCTGTTTCACAAAAGGTTCTGTGTGGCGAAAGAAGGTTCTTCAGATTATAAAAAGGTAAGAAAGTGATGGTTCTTTGACTGAGTGGTGTCTATATATGGCATCGCTGTGAAGTACCTTTTAAGCACCTTTATTTTTAAGAGTGAAGACTTTCAATTTCAAATGAGATATTTAGATTATTGTATGCATGATGCATGGTTTTCACTCTTCTTGTATGTTCAGCCTAAAGCTTGTGTTTATGTATTTGTTTGTGTTTGTGAAAATGCAGTGCGGTTGATCTCTAATCTGAAATCGCAGACTTATTGTGAAGAAGTGGAGGCCATATAGGTCATATTGGTTTGTAGCGTCTGTGAGATAAACAGGAGCCTGTCTAGGAACATTGAGTGAGATAGGAAGTGTGATACTTTAACCTCTTGCTTCTTTCTCATCTTGTGTGGCAACATTTTATTGGCTGAGGTGGGGGCCCTCAGGTAGATAGGGCAAAAAAACAAAGGCACATCAGCAGGAGAAAGAGAGGCTCAGAGCACCTGTGGCCAAACACAATAGAGAGTTTTCGAAAACAGAGGCCGAAAGGAATTTCAGCAAAATGAGTCAAGTCACGTCGCAATGGCAGAATAGACAGGAAGATGAAAGAGACTGGAAGACTAGACAGAGGAAATGAGGGTAGGAGAGGCCTCACCGCAGCAACCGACTCACACTGACAGGATCTTAACCAGGCGAGATGGCATCAAACCAGGAGTGTGATGGCTAAAATAGACAGTTGTCAAATTGTTGTTTTGCTTATGGTATAGGCTGATGAATCTGACGACAGCTTTATAGTAGAAGAGAATACATAAACAGAGAAGTTTGATCAACGCTGTAAGAAAAGGAAAAAATCCATAGAAAAATGGTTCATGTCCTGCATGGCAGATAATTACCAGTACGTTTTCTGTTAAATTTACACAATGCAATGCGTAATTCAAAATACGGGTAAAACACCCGTAAAAAAATTAATGCGGAACATTCTTTCGTATTAAAGGGGTCATATGATGCGATTTCAAGTTTTCCTTTCTCTTTGGAGTGTTACAAGCTGATTGTGCATAGATAAGATTCCTGAAGTTGCGAAGACTAAAGTCTCAAAACCAAAGAGATATTCTTTATCAAAGTTAAGACTCTGCCACGCCCCCCTAAAACGCCTCGTTCTAACACGCCCCCACATATCTACCTCACTATGTGGAAATATTTGCATAATGCCGCCCAAATGTGCAAGGGGTCAGCTGGCCAATCAGAGCAGACTGTGCTTGTCGGAAGGAGGGACTTTGTAGAAAACGAAGCGTTTGAGAGAGGCGGGGCATAGAGGACCTACAATAATGTACAGTATTTGAAAAATAATGTGTTTTTTGAACATTAAAGCATGTCAACATATTCTGTTACACCAAATACACAAAATAATGATCTTTAAAAAAGCATCATATGACCCCTTTAAAAGTACTGGGCTGTGTTTTTATGGACTTTTTTAAAGCATGAATATACATTACTTAATATATTATACTTTATTTCAATTCCATTGAAATCTAATAGTTTAAGTACATAAATCTAACATTAAAACTTTTTTATGTTTTTGAAAGTGTACTTTATAATTATATAGCTTGTGCTTACCAATGAAAGTATAACAGTAATATTGTGAAATATTATGGCAATTTAATTTAACACTTTTCTGTTGTAATGTATTTTAAAGTGTAATTTATTTTACTTTTATTTATTTTGCATTACTCCAGTCTTCAGTTTCACAAGATCACTCTAATATGCTGATGTACTGCCTAATGATTATCATCAGTTATTGCTGGTTCTCAGTTATTAATAATGATTCTT